GGGCCCATCCAGCTGCTTCCAGAATTCTCTCAGGGATGGCAAATGTGGCGGGTGTGGTGGTGGCCCAGTGGGTAGCTAGTCCCTCCCTGTCCTAGCCAGCAGGACCCACATCCATGACTGAGGACGAGGCCCCAGGAGAGGACAGGTGCCAGTTGGCTAAGCACCCGGGTGCCTGGTTCTGGGCTGTGGGGCCTGAGAGGTCTGGGGGGGAAGGGGTGCTCCCTGGGAAAGATGTGTCTTCTCTGAGGAGAGGAAGGAAAGAAGGAAAAGAGGAGGGAGAAGGGAAGGCAGGGCAAGGAAGACAGGAGGGAAGGAGGGAGAGAGGGTGAGGAGGAAAGGAAGGAAGGAAGGGGAGAAAGCCAGGACAAAGAGCCTGCGCGGGAGGAGTGGAGGCAGGGCTGGTCAGGCAGAAAGCCGTTCGTTTTGCTCCTGACAACGGCGGGCCCCGGGGTTGACCTGGAGCCCTGTCACCTTTGGATTCCTTGTTATACAAGACAGTAAATGTCTCTTTTAATTTAAACCGCACGTAATTGAGATTTCTCACGCTTGACTCCAAGTGCTCCAGCAGACTCTTCTCCAGTTCAAGAGCAACGGGACAGCTCATTTCTGGAAGTGCCTCAGTGAGCCCGCGTCGGCCACGCCAAGGTCTCACGTGTCAGGCCCCGGGGGGTGACCCCCTCCCCCAGACGGTTCTAAGGAGGCCTGCGCCTTTCTGGGACAGTCTTTAGTCTCAAAACTGCATTCAAGGTCTGGTTCAGAGTTGGCTCCCCCGCGGGTGTAACCTGGGGGGAGGCCTACATGGTCTACTTTGCAGCCCTGTCCCACGGTGGGTCCCCAGGGGCTCAGGAGGGGCTGCTGAGCCATCGGTCATCACTGCTTTGGGACCCTCCGGTCCCACAGTTTTTTGGAAACGATTTGTATCATTTGCAGCACCCATAATACAGAATATCAAAATACTGACACGTTGTATTTTTGGTAAATTGGTTAGGAAAAACAGTAAATTAGTCTAAGAAGAGAATTTTCTTATTTTCTTTGAGGTAGGTCCACAGGTAGAGGAGAGCATGAGAAGAGATTTTATTTTTCTGGCTGAATATTTTTTAAAAGTGTGGAGTGGCCTGCAGAATCAAACAGCTGGGTCAGGTTACACACTTTATTATTTAAAAAGTTGCAAATTGGATCCTGTTCACTCCAGGCCAGAGCTCACAGAGCAGCGCCCCCTCCCCATCAGCAGAAATTCCTTCCAGAGCATTCGGGAGCCCACACCTGACTCAACTACCCAGTCATGTCTCTGAAAAGACCCCACTCGGAGCCTGCAGAGCCCCCGTCCCCTTGCTTGGAGTCGAATAGTTCCTCCCCTGCTGGGTCTTCAGGACAGTCAGGACCACACAGAGTTTCTCAATAAATAGTGAATGAATAAACTTTTTCCTGATGCCAAAGCAGGAACCACACAGACACACGCACGCGCACACACGCACGCACACACACACTCCTAAACCACTCTGAGGGACATTGCACAATAGAGCTTTCTTGGTTTCTCAGATGTCAGGAGAACCGAGTTTTAATTAATTTATTTATTTTTAAAGATTTTATTTATTAATTTGACAGGCACAGCGAGCGAGGGAACACAAGCAGGGGGAGTGGGAGAGAAAGAAGCAGGCTTCCAGCTGAGCGGAGAGCCCGATGTGGGACTTGATCCCAGGTCCCTGAGATCACGACCTGAGCGGAAGGCAGAGACTTAACTCACTGAGCCACCCAGGCGCCCCAAGGGTAGGCATTTTAAAAGGCTGAGGATGAGGGGGAAGGACCTCAGCCAGCCTCAGATGGCACTGGGAGGCCCATAGTTGGTAAAAAAGTATGGATTTTATTTATTTATTTATTTTTATTTATTTATATTTTTTTAAGATTTTATTTATTTATTTGTCAGAGAGAGAGAGAGAGAGTGAGCACAGGCAGACAGAGCGGCAGAGGGAGAAGCAGACTCCCTGCGGAGCAAGGAGCCCGATGCGGGACTCGATCCCAGGACGCTGGGATCATGACCTGAGCTGAAGGCAGCTGCTTAACCAACTGAGCCACCCAGGCGACCCAAAAGTATGGATTTTAAATACCATAAAAGCGCTGAAAATATTTGCCCCCTCCCTCCAGCCCAGTTGGACAAGCAGACCCCAGGCTGACTCCAGGTGAGCACTCAGGAGTGGTATGACCTTGAGCAGGTGAGCCCTTGACCTTGAGGAGGTTAAGGGCTTCAGGCAGCAGCCTCTGGGGCCAGCTGTGGAAGGCAGCCTGTCGCACTGTCGCACAGGTTACTGCGAGCAGACACGGGGAACGCATTCCAGGGCTTGGCTCTGTGCCCGGCACATCACGAATACTCCACAGATGGAAATGGTATTACAAGTAAGAATAAACACCATGAGGGCCCAGCAGTAAACAGCGAATGCTTTTTAAAAGTGTGATAAGAAATGGTCATGGAGGGGAACCTGCGTGGCTCAGTCGGTTAAATGTCTGCCTTTGGCTCCGGTCGTGATCCCAGGGTCCTGGGATCAAGCCGCACATCAGGCTCCCCACTCAGTGGGAAGCCTGCCCCTGCTTGTGTCCCAGTGCTCACTCTCTGTCAAAAAAAACCCCCCCAAAACCCAAAATCTTTAAAAAAAAAGAAATGGTCATGGAGTCGGGGGCCCCAGAGAAGAAAGACCGTCTCCCCACCACCCCAGATGCTAGTCACCCTCCCTCCCCCAGTAACGCACCAAGAATGACTGCAGCCGTTGCCAGAGTGTTATCTATAAAGTATCTTCTCTTTATTTAAGTTAAACAATTTTCAAGGATGGTTTCCATCTATAAAATGGACAAAGTACAAGCTCTGTACAGCAGTTCTTTTTAAAAATCAACTGGAAAAAAAATTACCAAACTATATTTTGAATTTGCAAAACATACTCACAGAGACCATCATTTTAGCTTTGATGAAGACGTAAGAAAGACCACCACAGAGAGGACAACTAGCTTCGCCACACTTTGCTCAAAGGGCTCTTAGGAGAGAGAATCTGTACTTGTAAAAACCGGAGTGGGAGGGTGGGATCGTCCCATTGACTAAGAAATACGCAACCACAGGAAGTCACTTTGGCACACTGTTGTCTTGTAAACATAGCTCACTTCCAGGGAGCCCGCCCAGCCGCACCTCTGCTCACAAGGCTCACGGGGTCCCAGGCTGCCGTGCCCACTCCCCCGCACCCCTAGCTCAGGGTCGAGGAGCAACCCCAGAAGGAGCCAGGTGGGCCCGTCCTGATGGTACAGGCGCCATGAGGGTTCTGGGTGGGGTGGGGGTGTGCGAGGAAAGGACACATCAAGGACCTGACTTGAATTTGCTGCACATCAAAGCCAAATGTGTTTGCTAGCCATGGGGTATTTTTCTGGTGAACACGGGCAGTGGCTCACAGGGGACAGGGTCTGAGAGGAGGACCCAGGTGCCCGGGCTGAGTCTGTGTCCTGCCCCACTTGCACTCAACAGCTTTGCACGGGTACCCGGCCCTCTCTCCGAGGCCTCCCCGTAGTCAACACCGGCCTCTGAGACAAGGTGTGCAGCGGTAACCCAGCCACGGCCTCCCTGTCCACTGAGCGTATGTCCGCCTGCTGGGCAGAGGCCAAAAGGAGGGCAGGACAGTCCCCCAGCCACGCCTCCACGCCCAATCCCGGTGACCCAGAGCAAACACACATGGGCCTTTTCAATGAAGGAAGAAAAAAAGGTAGCGCTCCCTTTTGGAAACGGGAAACAGGCAGGGAAGAGAGTGGCACTTTGCAGACTATCAACCCAGCAGAATCTTCTGGGGCCACTTCTCACTCTGTGACCTCCTGGGCCCTCCCCTCGGGGCCCAAGGAGGTGCATTTCTGACACACGTCCCACCACGCGGGGTGGCCAGCCTCAGAGGACGGTGGCCAGGTCTCAGAGCACGCATGTGGAAAGGGAGAAGGAGGTCTGGGCCCTTCCGTAGGAGGCCTGGACTGCCCTGTCACCGTGGGGCCACCGCAAAGGCAAGGGGGGTTGCTGTAGGGACATTCCTGGGCATCTCTTCCTGTCATGACTTCTAGTTCCTAACAGGCTTGTGGTTTATACTGACATCTGCTTCCTAACACACAAGTCTCCTGCTCCTGCCAGAATCCTCCATGACCAAAAGCAGGCCCCTGGGCCAGGGAGGGACAGCGTGGGCAGGCCGGATTCCAGAGTCCAGGGACCAGCTCACGGGACACACACAGTTTGCCCCATGACAGCCCAGGACAGCTTCCTACTGTCGCCTACTGGGAGCTGGGAGCCTGGGTTTGGTTTTGTTTTTTTGTTTTTTCCTAAGAGAAAAAAAAAAATTTAATTTAAAAAGACCCAAAGTAATGTTTGTCAAAAAAAATAACCCATCCTGGTTTCCAGATACCAAGGGCACAGAAAGTAGGTTCCAACACCGAGCAGTGGCTTGCAAGCTGAAGCCAATGGAGGGGCCCCCCGGCACCCCAGCCTCCTGGGGCCCAGTGGCAGGGAAGCCCCCAGTGGCCCCCGTAGCACCTGCTCACTGGTGGGGCTCTGGGGTGTGGAAGGCGCTGGAGGCCACCTTCTCCCTGCCCCAAAGGGCCCCGTCCCTCTTCCTTACGGCCGTGAACTAACTGCTTTGTGGGGAATTTACAAGATGAGGACGACCTACAGAAACCATAGGGAACTGACCGTACATTCTTTCTTTTATATGTATTTATACTTACTGTCCCACCGTAGAAAGTTCCTATTCAAATAGAGTAAGTACATCGTATGGAAGAGGGGGTCTGTGCTGGGAAGACAGCAGGAACAGAGGAGTGGGGACAGGGATGTACGACGTAATCCTGCAAAATGACTCGGGTCACCGTTGCAGAAACCAGACATGATTTCGATGGGATCAAAAATGGAGATTTCCAGAGGGTTCCTCACGGTGACACAGCAGCGATGCCCCTTCTGCTCTCCCTGCCCCGCGCTAAGGCCCGCGCCTCGACCGTCCCTGGGGGGTGGTTGTGGGCGGGGGGAGCGGGTGGCCTCGGAAAGGGGGCCCAGCCGCCTCCCGTGGGACAAGGAGAGCGGGTCTCTTTCCCAGCCTCTTCGGCGTCCACCCAGGCCCCGTGCCTCGCACACGTTCTCCGACATTCCGACCATGATGGAATACTGAGGTATATAGTTTCGCAGAAAGTTCAAGAAACATAATCGAAAACGGGCTCTCCAAACTCAGCCGGCCGGTGTGGGGGCCCGGTGGGGGCCGCCCGGCGGGCTCTCCTACTGCTGCAGGTTGAGTGTGAACTTCCACTGCTGAGACAAGGCGGGGCCGCACACCTCCACGCTCAGGCCCCCGCTCTTGGCCGCGCGGCTGTCCAGGCACAGGTTGCTGCCCACGTGCCGCAGCTTGGAGTTGCCCTCGATCTGCTCCCATTTCTGCAGGAGACAGGAGAGGGCCTTACGGTCACGGCGCACACAAGACGGTAGGGAACAGACCCATGGGCAGGGTCTTCTAACTATATGAAAAGCAGAAACGCCAAGCCTTGTTTTCATTTTTGGTGGCGGTGGGGGGATCTCGAATCATAAGGGAGGAGTCAGCCGCTGCGCCAAGACCAAGCAGCCTCAGGGCCAACGGAGCATCCCGGAAAGAAACCTATGCTCTCTGCCGGGCTTGTAACTCCAAACCTCCGTTCTGGGCCTGCCAGGGCCCGCATGCCCTGCCCCACCCCTCGTCCAAGCTCCAGCACTCTGGGCACCTGCCCATCCTCGGTCATTAACCCGAGAACTCAAGCCAGAGTGCCTCCTGGGGGAAATGTGCATTCATCCACAAGAAGGCCTCATCTGATGCTATTTCGCCTCCAGAGGAGCCCTAGGAAGCTCCAAGAGGACCCCGATCCCGCCCCTGGCTCCTGGAAGGCAGCCCTGCCTGGAGGCCGTTGCCTGGCACTTCCACGCTCCCACTTAGGGCTTCGGGCTCAATTAAACAAGGGGAACGGTGTCAGGCCAGCCGAGAGGGAAAGAGATGCCTGAGTGGAGAGAATTACTGTGTCGAGGAACCCGTTGCTATACTGTCTGTTCCCTCTGCGAGTCTGTGAGCTCCTCGGTGGGTCTGAGAAACCCGTCTCAGCCACTCGGGGGGCCCCGGCACTCTGCACGGCAGGGACCAAGCAATATTTGCTGAGTTCCAAATGCGACTCCTGTGAGCACAGGGCCTGACGTCTCCTTATTCGAATATGTACACCCTCCCCGCAACCAAGACCAAACCCAACAACCAACCCACCCTCAACTGACCAGCTAACCACACTCAATCAGTCAACAAGTAAATCAACCAACTCACCAATTCACCGACTGATCTGCCAACCGAACAAGAAAGAAAGCAAAGCCCACAGCCTTGCCCAAGGGAAGTCTGAGGCCCCCCACCCTGCCGTTTACCCCATGTAAAAGTCTGTTTGTTCTTTAAAAGAAAAAAAAAAATGATCACAGGTTGTTCTCCCCAAAGCTCTCCCTTCATTAATAGAGTCTGTGATTCTAATTAATTTTTTACACTGTGTGCACTCAAGCTCCTTTCCGTATTTCTGCAAATCCTTTTGACACCACGGAACTGAATTCGCCTCCTGCTGCCTCCCCTTCCCCTGATTCGGCAAAGGCACACACAACACGAACACACAGACGTGCCTGGAAACCAAACAGCCCAGCTGGCAAGAAGGTGCGGCTTAGAGCTAAAATTAGCTGAGGGGCCTCCTCTCAGAGGGCACGTGGGTGGGGGGGAGGAGGCAGGCAGGCAGAGAGGAACCCGGCACCCCGAGAACCGGCCTTCCGTGCGAGGAGAACAGGATGCTGGGATGTTCTCATGAGGGCCCTGTGATACTCAGGCCCCCGTGAACCCAGAGCTTCTGCCAACAGTGAAATTCAGTGCCATCAGCTGAGCACGGGGAGGTCACGGCTGCCTGCCCACCATCCCTCCTTTCTGGCTCCCCGGCTGTCAGTCAGTCCTCACCGGGCTTCCGCCGTTGTCAGGTTAAGTGTGTCTGCGGTGCAGACAGCCCTGTGCTGCTCTGAGTGGCCAGGAATCAGGCCTGACAAAGAATGTGGAACGAATGGAATCTGATTCCCGTCTCCGGAGGGGCTCTGCCTGTCAGGTGTCAAAGCCTCAGCTAAATGGAAGGTCTTTAAAAAAAATAAACTCCAGCTCTGTCTCTAATCAGGGGTCGGATTTCTGGGCCCTCCAGGCCCTGCTGGAACAGGGCCACAGGGCTCTGCACCCGGTGAGGTCTCGGGGTCAGAAGAGCTGTGTGCAGGACATTCCCTTCTCCTGGTGTGAGCCTCTCCGCGGTGCCCTATGCTTCCCAAGAACCGGGATCGCACCAGGAACACCTGTCCGCTCTGGAAATAAGGTGAGCTCCTACTGAACTCCTCTAGGGGTTCAAGTGTCCATCAGAAGCCAGGCTGGGGTTCCACAGAGCCGGGGACAGACCCCGGATGGACAGATGCAAGTATTTCCCTGACAGCCGGGATCGAAGCCAGGGACCTGGTCTCGGCCTTCGTCCTCCCAGGTGACACCGGAGAGGAGATGCTGACTCCGTGGGTCTCCACCTCTCCTTCAGTAAAATGTCTCAGACAAGAAGCCCACTCAGGCTCCGGGCTGTGGTTGGCTCTGTGCCTCCATTTCTCTACATCCATCTATTTCATAAAAAGGGACCATACGGAGACAAGCCAGTGCTCCCCATGATGGCATGTCGGAAGGTATAAATACGCAGACACTCAGGAAAGAGAGTGTGTGTATGTGTATGAGGTCTCACCCACTTGAACTTCCTCGTTTAGCATTTTTGCAAATTTAAAAAGCAGAAATATTTAACGAATAAATAAGAACAGGCAATTTTTCTTTGAAATACCCGGTAGAGTGGAAAGAACGAGAATGTCATCAGAAGTAAGCAACATCCGACTGGTGGCTTACGAGAGAGAGGTGTGTTGCTAGGTCTTTCCTTCGGGGCCGTGGGTTCATTAGCACATGGAGTGAAACAGAATGAAACCACCTCCCTTTGGTGACATGGTGATGAACCTTGCTTTCTTTTCTAGTACTTATTTGTAGGTCAGTGCTGTGCTAACTTCTCCGCGGGTTCTGCGTCTGGGCTGAGGTCCCCACCTGCCGTAGTCCCTCCCACCCCTCAAGGCCACACACCTGCGTGGCTCCTTGTGCTTCTGCTTCTGTGGAGAAGCCACGAGCCAGCGGAGCCTCCCTGCTCCCGGGCCTGAAGTCTGCGCCTCCGCTCGCCAGGGGTGTGAGGAGGCAGAACTTGGTGGGCTTCCTGTGGTCATGGCCAGCGCTCAGACCATCACACGCACCGCCACCCGCCTCTCTCCCGTGTTCACCAGCACCACCAGACACACACTCTCAGGACACGCACGTACGAGGGGCTGCTACAAAGAAAGACTGGAAAAGGGACCAGCGGCTCCGCTTACCTGCACGGTGCAGGGAGGAGGAACTGACCTGGAGGCACTGGGGCCCCTACCTAGTGAAGGTGCTTCCAGACCCTCGTAGGAGCCGAACATACAATTGTGGCCCCTTCCCCTCCAGTTTTGCTGGAGGGTGAGGCACAGACAGAGGCAGATCAATCAAGAAGCTGTGGAAGGGGGTGGCCAGCTGGACCTCCGACTCCTTGATTTCGGCTTGGGTCATGATCTTGGGGTCACGGGATCGAGCCCCGTGTCGGGCTGCACGCTGGGCAGGGAGTCTGCTTGCCAGTCTCCGTCTGCCTCTGCCCCTCCCCCTGCTCTCTTTCTCTCTCTAAAAAAAGTGAATGAATGTTTGAAGAAAATAAGTTATGGTTAGACATACCCCGGGATGAGGGCACTCACGGTGGAGCCGGCCACGGGGGGCCGAGGACAGAGGACAGGAGGCACGCTGCCCCGGCCGGTGCGCACGGGAGGCCAGGCGCCCTTCTGAGCATGCACAGCCCGCACGCAGCGCGAGCATCCGGACCCCACGTTTGCCCGGCACGGGGCTCACGGACACCTGCCGCCAGCCAGGAGCTCCCCAGCTTGGTGGGAGACGGCGGCCAGCCGGAGCCGAGGTCCGACAGGGCAGCCCGACGGGACAAAGGAGTGGGGTGGTCGAGGCCACAGGGGGCGCGGGAAGGCTGGGCTGAGGGGCAGGGGTGCCCTACCTGTCTGGTGTCGTTCTCTCGACAGCCCTGCAGCTTGACGACAGAACCCGGCACCCGGTCCACCACCGTCAGGCACAAGTCCATGTGTTTCACCGACTTCTCCTTTGTCAAGGCCCATTCCTGGAACACAGAGCCGGGGGTCAGGGCCGTGGCGTGACGGGGCTTGAGAGGGACAGGGTTGTGTCACCGAGCAGAGACCCCGAGCCCCCCGGCCGACTCCGGGCTGACACGTGACTTCTTGCCGAAGGGCAGGTCTCCACCTGGAGGTGCCAGGGCGGCGGGAGGGGGGCCGCCCAGGGCAGCGCCAAGTTCACCGACTGACGTGGCAAAAGCGCTCTGAGAACCCGAGTCACTGAGATAAACGATATGAATGGTTTCAGCCCGGGGCGCGCATCTGAGCGCCACACCCAGGGCTGTACCACAGCCCGGGAGCTGGGAGCACGGCGGCCCACGCCTGGATCCCCCAAGGCAGACGGGTCAGGGTCGACGTTTCCGCCTGCGTCATTTTGGAAAGACTCTGCCCCGGTGTAGTGCGGCTTGGAAACAGCCTTTACGAATGTGGATTGTAATGTGAGACGGTGGAAATTACACATGGAGCACGTAGTGAAATATGCAGCGTGCGGCCTCGCTGCGCAGTGAGCTGGTTTGCTGACACCCCGCAAGGCCTGAGCTCCCTAGGGACGGATCTGGGTATTTACACACACACCCCTCGTGCTAACACCAGGCGTCTACTGTGTGCTGGGCACTGTTATGCCCCATGAGAAGCTGATATTACTCCATCTTAGAGATGGAAAACTGAGCCAGAGAGTGCTAAAATAACTTGCTTATGATTTTTACAACAAACACACACACACACACACACACACACACACACACTAGGGGCTGAGAGCACAACCATTTATAAGACACTCTAAAAGAACAGGACGGGGGAAAATGGAGAAGATGGGTGAGGGAGCACGAGGCCCCGGGCAGAAGGTTCTCGGAGGGGCCATGGGTGGGATGGGAGGAGACAGCTTCCAACCTTCACTCCAGGACCTGACCCTTTCAAAGGGGTCAATTCCCAAGTGAGCCTCCAGGATCCAGAAGCAGCCAGGCAACTTCCAACCCAGAATTCCACCGGGACACACTCCCTACCAGCGTATGCCTTTCTGCTCTCCGCCCAGAAAAGCTGCCATGACTCAGCCACCCTTCCTGTGATGGTCCACGGCGCCCCAAGATGCCTCAGGTGCCCTCCCAGGGTCCAGCCCAAGGCCGTGAACAGACAGGCAAGGCCCTGACCTCCTGGGGCTGGCTCTCCAGCGGGGAGAATGGCTCACCCAAGGATAAATGTACTGTGTAACTTGAGACGCTATTAAATGCGATGAAGAAATTATTTTTCTTTCTTTTTTCTATTCCCAGGGACAGAGGTAAGCGAGGGAATAAATTACCTTTTAAAGAAGCCTCACTGTTTAGTACCTCGGTCACCTTGGAACAGATGGTCTGCCCGAGACAGGCTGCCTGTCTGGGCTCCGGAGAAGCCCCCTGGGCTGTTGGATTCTGGGAGGGATTCTGTGAGAAGTCTGTTTCAGGTCAAGTAAGTTTGGGGAATGGTGAGTTTGGGCCACGTGTCTTTCTGCAAAGTCACACACAGGCTCTCTGAGGCCCTGGAAGGCTGAGCACGGAAGAACCTGCTCGCACTGTTTTCCTCAGCATCTCCCAGACTCGAGAGCATGAAGCCCTGTCCCCACCTGTCCCCACCTGTCCCCGTCGGCCCCTGGCAGTGAGCTCTGCAGAGCATTCTCTGGGAAAGGCCCCACGCCACCCTTGAGGGTCGATTCCAACCTACCGTCAGGCCGTCCCCCCGACAGCCAGTGCCTCCGAGGTACCAACGGGCACTCAAGTGTCACCTGTATCCCAGGGTGGCATTCGAAGTCCCCCCAGGAAGGAGCGCGCGAGCCCCACCTTTCATTCACTGAGATACGCATCGTGCCTCCAGCGGGGCTCGCATGAAGTACTGGCACCAACCCGCCCCCACTCGTGGGTAAGCTTCTAGATGCTTCTTGGAAGCAGGTGTCGAAAAGACACTGGAAGGATCGCAGATACTCAGGGAAAGCTCACGTACAAATGTTTCTACAACCTTCTTGCTATTGTGTGTTTAATTATTTTACAGCAGACTTTACAATGAATTCCAGGAAAACTAATTCAGCGGTGCAAACAACAGAGCTGGCTGCCACTTTGTTCTTCTGTTGCATTTCAATGATCTGAATTTGTAAAATAAAGTTCATAAATATTTAAGAATTGCTTTTTTGAGCTGCCACTCTTAAAAAAGCACGGCCATTAATTTCCCCATTTCCTGGGTGTCTGCTGAGGCTCTGCCAGAAACCAGATAAGAAAGACGGTGTCTACAGTTAGGAAACGCCACTTACCCTCTCATTTCTCACCCAGGTGGCACAGCACTCAAAAAAGCATCGCTTTCCATCGGTACAGACGGGAATTACTCACGGGAGGGTTACGCATCGGCACACCCGCGAGCAGCAAGCCTGAGCCCAGGCTTCCTGCCGCCTGTGACTCAAGCTGCCCGATGTGGTGGCCACTACCCACCTTGGCTGAGCCAAATGGTTGAACACCTGACCTCCTCAGTCACACCAGCTACATTCTGAGTGCTCTGCGGCCACACGGGGTCCATGAGAACCGAACTGCGTGGTGCAGACGGAGGACATTCTCAGCATACAGAGCACGGCTGGTGGGGCTGGCCTAGGCCACTCTCTGGGCCGCAGGCCGGTCTGCGGAGGAAGGTGGGCCCCAGGTGTGGGTGAAGCCTGTTGCCCACCGGTGTGCCCTCCCCACCGCCCCGCTAGAAAACCCTCATGGTGTAGTGGCTCGTTCAGAATCACCTGCCTTGAGATTTCACAAACCCCAATGCTCTGGGACTCCAGGCTGATAAAATCAGGCTCTCTGGACAGGGGACTTGACATCAGAATTTCCAGAAAGCTCTTGGGGTGATTCCAGCAAAAACCCATGGGAGGCAGGCTCAGAGATGGTAGAAACCTGCTCCCTGTACAGGCAAGACCAGGTGCTCCTGTCCCGGATCCCTGAGCACCCCGCAGCTGGCCCAGGAGGGACTCCGCAGACATCCCCAGCAGGGAGGGAAAGCTCCGGCCCAGTGTGGGAGCAGCAACCGTCTCACAAGAGTGAAAGGGAAAAAAGAGGGAACCAAGTGCTCTGCACAGGCCATGCTGTCTGCCCTTCCCGACAGCCCCCGGCACAGCACTGGGACAGCCGAAGTCTGGGTGTGGCCATGGCCCAGCACAGTCGCCTGCGCACACAGGCGGGAGCAGCAGCCTCTGGGTGGCCTCCTGCATCATCCCAATCTCCTCCTCCCCCACAAATGGCTTCCTGAGGGCAGCTCATCATCCATGAGCTCCCGTGCCTATGAACAAGGGGGCTCTAACCAGGACAGCTGTGAGACGAAAAGGGGGAGCTATGCAAAACCGCGCGGGGGACGGGCGTGAGGGAGCAATGTGCCCGGCAGGCCGGGCTGGTCAGCCTCCCCATGGGCGGGGCTTGTGGGCTCAGAGACGAGCTGGCAGGCAGGATCTGGGGATCCAGAGGCACAGCCACCAGCCATCACAGGTGGGGGCGACCACGCTGGCCATGGCAGCTTTTGTGACCAGCCGCGGGGTAAAAGGTACCATCCATCCCCGAGGCCATGCCACATGGGCAGGAGCCATGCACGGCACCCAGGACCGAAGCTGGCGCCTGAGCCCGGGGAGGGAAGGGAGGGGCAGCAGGAAATCCCTCACTATCGGCCGCCGTACGTACTTTCCAAATGCACGGGTCGGCACTGGTCAGAGCTGCTATGATATAAGGGCGGACCCCGTAACAGTCACTGAATCATCAGAACGTTGCACACGTGACCGAGGGGAAACCCGGTGACTAAACGGGGGCAGGGTGAGGCCAGCTTGGGATGGGACCAAGTCTAACAACTCAGACAGCAGGTAACGCGGGGACGCGCCGCCTCTGAATCCTAACACGCAGACCGGTGGATTAGCCAAATTTTGAATTTCGGCCACCAGAAGCGCCCCAGGGCTTAGCAGGCCCAGGAGCACGGCGCTGCTTCCAGAGACTCATTGGATCCATTGTGTTTCCAGGCCGCCCAAAGCTTCCCTTTTTGGAAGGCAGCACTTTAGTATTTTCATTCCAGCTTGGCCAGAGACAGATAAAACCCCGCGTCTCCCGGCACCCTCAGCCTCCCCCCTCATACCGAATCCCCAGACCTCCTTGTGCCGCGTCCCTGCACGGCTTCCTGCAGGCAGACCTGCGCCATGTGCCACCGCCGTGCGCATCAGTGGGACCCGGAACCACGCGGTCCCCAGCAGAAAGTGGAACCACGGTGAGTTTCAGACCAAAGGCCTGACAAGGACACGCAGAGACACTCTTGGCAGGCACGGCATCCTCTGTCCCTCCTGCCCCCCCCCCCCAACAAACTTGGCCTGACTCGAGTCTTCCCTCCAATTATCCATCTTCCTCCCTCCTTAGACCTTTTCCTTATAGCCGACTCCCAACACTCCTAACGTTTTGAAATACTCAAAATCCACAAACCAGGCTGCACCCCGAGGCTGGCTGGGGGCTCACTCCAAGCTCACAGCCTGTCCCCGGGAAGCACTTGCGGAGAGGCCGGGCTCTGAGGACAGAGGTGAGACCCTGGGAGCCTGGGAGCAGCACGTCTGCGCTGGGCCAGCCCTGGCCACTGCCTTAAACCGCCTCTCCCTCCCTTGTCTAACTGAGGATGTCCAGACCGGTCCAAACAACTGTTAAGATGACATCACCAAGTGAAGAGAGGGGACGAAACATCTGGGGGTCGCAGTCCACCCAGATACTCCCTGGGGGGATTTGGAACAACCAACTTTATGTAAAAGCAGGTGCCCTCTCTTAAAGAGAGTTCTATTTAAAGGAGGTTCTGCGGGCGCCTGGGTGGCTCAGTGGGTTAAGCCTCTGCCTTCGGCTCAGGTCATGATCTCAGGGTCCTGGGATGGAGCTCCGCATCGGGATCTCTGCTCAGCAGGGAGCCTGCTTCCCCCTCTGTCTCTGCCTGCCTCTCTGCCTACATGTGATCTCTCTCTGTCAAAAAATTAAATAAAATCTTAAAAAAAAAATAAAGGAGGTTCTGTGATCAGTAAATCTGGGATACACTTAGTTAACCCCCCATCCCACAACGGCCCCATTTAAACTGTAGGTCCTCGGAGAGCTTGGCACGTTTTCAAGGAGATAAGAATACCTAGCATGACCCAGACTCTTCTGGGCACAAAGCCCACATTTTACCAAATACCTGCCATTTTTTTATGGGAAAATTGCTATTCTAGAACATTGTTCTCTGGAACATATAGGCCATGGTTAGGCCCAACAGGCCTTCACTTCTCTGTCTTGTTTTCAGTGAGGACAGAAGGTGTGGGGCTTTATGCATCCAGGACAAGTTGTGTGTGTGCGTCAGACCGAAGCTAGTAATTGTTAATATTCTCTATCTAAGCCCGTGTTATCTAACAGGCAGGGGCCGATAATGACTTTGGCAGCAGCCGCAGGGTCCGTGCCTATTAAAACTGGGACCCGAGCAGGTGTTTATGAGCTGGTCGGAGACCAGACACAGATGGAGACACAGAACAGGTGCTTTGGGGACAAGCACATGGCACAGGGATGACAGAGGTGGCAGGAAGATGAGGAGGAGCCCTGCAGGCCTGCCTTGATGAGAGATGCTGGATATCGGTAGTAACCGTAGTGTCCCTTGCTGTGGTGGCAGAGGCTGGCCCAAGGCTGATGGCAGGATCCACGCATCTGTCAAGATCTGAGGCATCCCACCCAGAGCCTGTGGCTGCCTGCCTGCGGGTGACCAGTCGGGGCCACATGCTACCTCAGACACCTTGGGTCACAGGAGAAAGGCAGCAGCAAGGATTCGCAAGCTCAGGGCCCCTTCCCTGCAGGACTCCAACCCACCCCCCACACATACCTGGTTCCCCCCTGCATTGTGACACTCATAGACTCCAACGACACCATCAGCAAAATGTCCCAAAGTGTCCAGGCAGTTGGTTCCCTGCTGCAAGGCCCCAAAAGCTATATCCTGGTGGTCAGGGACCCTGGAAAGCAAGAGGAGAACCATCTGCTTAATTCCACAGGCCCCCTGGCTCCCACCGTCCACCCCCTTACTCGGTGAGTCCGTCTCTGGCAGCAGGAACCCTGAGAGGAGAGGAACCCCCCTCCCACAGGCGGGCTGTGTCAGCTGGGCAGCATTTCTCGAATGCCCTGGATTTCTAACCGGAGTGAAGACTTCAAGCTGGAGAAGCATTCTTTCCATACCAGGAAAACGTTTCTGGAAAGGAAAAGCTCCTCTACTCCTCACTGTTAGCCTGTTGGAAGTTCTTCAGAAAAGTAATTCACGAGGTAAGACCCCACGGCCTTGGGCTTTCCGGCAGACTTGGGATCTGACCTGTACCTGGCGGAGGGGAGAACCCGTGTGGCTGTGTCCGACAGCCTGCCACCAACAGAAACGGCACGTGTGGGCGGGGGCCACATGCCTCAGGATTCCACCCGGGTCAGCCTGGGCCCCACACCCACTGTGCCATCTCTCGCTGTCCCCCCAAACCTCGGACCCTACTGCATAGCACCTGTAAAGCAGATCTGTTCCAAGTATCACATAACACATTTCACTGCAAGCACGTGGAGCCCAGGGCCTGGGGCACAGGGTTGGGGGGCGCCCAGAGAGCGGCAGTGCGCACTACAGACACACACGAATGTCAGGTCGGTTTCTCCCCTGCCGGGCGCAGGTGGGGGGTCAGCTTCTCCCGCCAGTGTGGGACTCAGTGTTCTAGACAAGTGGCACAGGCCCCCTGGCACCCCACAGCAGGGGTGTCCATAAGGCGAAGCTGCACTTACTGTCACTCTGGCTGGCAGCACTACCCACCACATCACAGATGACCGTGATGGCAAAAGCACAGTGGTCCCCACGACGGGGCTGCAGGCTACTGTGGGAAGCGCCACGCGGGCTGGGCGAGAGATAATGATCAGCGGCTGCCCGTAGGTGACCAAGTCTGCTCTCGGGCCCCAGAGCAAGCCGCCTGTCACAGACGGGGCCCAAGGGAGGAGGAGGCCTGCTATCCCCGCCACTGGGGGACAGCTGGATGGCTGTGAAGAGCAGCCGGGAGGCACAGCCGCATTAGGGAACGCTCAAACAAACCTCGGGGACAACGGCTCTGAAGGAGCCGTTAGCCAGAAGGATAACGGTGGTGACTCCGGCTGCCACTGCGTGGGAGCCACGCCCTTGCTGGGAAAGGAGGAAATGTGCCACGTTAAAGCAAAACCTGTCTGGCAATCCCTTTACAAGGATGACATTCGGAAGGGTCCCGAAACCCGCAGACCTGTAGGCCTCTGAGGAGGGTCTCAAGGGCTCCCCGAGAAGTGGAGTGGCCATTAGTGCAAGAGGAGGCGGCGGGTGTAGACAGAAGCCGCAGAAGAGCACTTCTGCCACCAGGAAGTCTCTTGGAGGGAAGCGGGGCCCGGCGTTAGTGCCCGACGCAACCTGGAGGCGGGGGTCCGGGCTCCGGGCTCTGCTGGGTGCTGCCCTCTGTTCACGGGCCCACAGGATGGGCACTGGCATCTGGGCAGCAGGAGCGAAGCCAGGGGCGGGGGAGCAGATTCATTCCCTGGTCTCTGTGCGTGTCAGCACTGCCCTCGGCTCCAGCGCAGGGAGGCCGGGCAGAGGCACCTGCTGTGCAGGGAGGGCCCGGAGCCGGGGAAGGCTGGGCACTGCCCCTTGGGCCACTTACAGAGAGGGTGAGACAACAGACCTTGTCCTCTTGCCAACAGGGCATGAGCTAAACGAGGTGCCACCTGGGACTGTTTCCGCCTCTGTGCAGAACAGGAAGGTCACCCAGCAGGAGGCCGCCATTCGGGGAGCACATTCTCAGGGGTGCTTAGGGACAGCTGCGGGGTGAGGACACACAGCTCTCGCTGGAAGCCCCAGCTCCCGGCCTCTCACCAGGGCCACAAGTTTAACTTGGTCACCTCTCGGGGCCTCCTGCCTCTCTGACATCCATGGCTCCTAAGCCCTTGCGGAGCAAGGCCCTGATCCCCAGTGGCTTACCTTAGCTCTGGGTAGACGTTTTCCAGGTACCACTTGAAAGGCTTGCAGCTAAGTTTCTTTCTGAGCTCCAGTCGGCTCTGAATACTGGAAAAGAGGGAAACAAGATTCCTTCACCAATTTCGAGAATGGACAAGCTCCTTACATCGTATCTGGAAAGCTGCCGATGGGAAGAGGATGGAGGCAGGCGGTGGAGCTTGGACTGTCCACTCTCCTGTCCCCGCGGCACTGGCCCACCTCCCACATGCCTCCTGCCTTGGGCCCCCGCCTGGCCTTGAGCAGAGGCCCCTGCTCTGATGCCTGGGCGACGGTTCTCGCCTCTGGCAGCAGAATGGTTCGTGGGGTGCGGGCTGAGCACAGGCTCCCCCACCCCTCGCCAGGATCCTGAGCAAAGTGGCATGAGAGGGCTCAAGTGACACTTACTTTCCATAAGGAACGTTTCTGGCGGAAGGCACTGCTGCGTAATAGAAATTTTTGTATTCGTCCATCCAGACCTCTGCTGCCCGGCGGGTGTTACTAGAAACAAAATAAGGATTCTTGAGCTGGGATTTGCCTTCTTTCTGTCAGCGTCACTCTGTGTGCACTTGTCTGCTTCGAGGGCTACTTGGGAAGGGCCCCCGAGGCGGGCGGGCAGCGGTGGCAGGGACACAGAGAGCAGGCTGTCCCCGCTCGGCACCCAGGCCCAGACTGGTGGGTAGCGGGCACGCAGCGGGTGCTTACTGAGCAAACGGAACTCGCCTTCTCGTCTTTCACAGAAACAGATTGTCAAAGAGCAAAAGGCAGAGTTAGACCTGCAGCACACGCAGGTCCTGGGAGGAAAAGACTCGGGCTGGACCAGCAAGAAGGACACAGGGCGTCACCATGGGAACCTGCATCATGTAGGCACGGGCGGCTGGCATGGGGGAGGACAGCCAAGGAATCCTTGGCCTCTGGGGCCCTCCTCATCATGGCTGCAACATGACTAGACAGCTCTGGGGAAAAGGTAAAAATAGGTAAGCACTATTAAAAAGACTCTTCCCCCTGCAGACTTGAGTTGAAACAGTGTTCGGTTTGGACAAGGACTGGTGATGGGAAGGGGAGAAAAGCTTGAAGCCCCACCTCCGGGGCTCCCGCCAACTACACCGTGCTGGAGGGACCGGACGGAACAGGCTTTTCTGACAGGCAAGAAAACCATGTGCTTAAATCTCAGAACCGCACCTACTCACAGCTCAAAACCATGACGCTTGATCAATTAAGGCCACTGGAACAAGCTATGTTTGCATACAGGGCCGGTGTGCAAGGCTCCCATGAGTGTGGGCGTCAGATCTGACCTGCCCGCACTCCCCTCAGGGCACGTACGAAGCAGCATCATACAGTGAGCCTCTCTGCTCCCAGGTCCCGGACTCGGTTCCCAAGCAGACTCATGCTTCCTTCAGGTCCCATATAGAAGACATTATGTTCTTCCAAAAGAAATATATTAGGGAGGCAATGTTTACCTTTGAAAAGAATTCCTCTCCTCTACCAGAAAGGTCTCTTAAACGGCGAGCCTTTCAAAATGATCTGAGCTACAGTCATTAAAATAACTTCCACTCGGGGCGTCGACTCTCACACAGCGTGACGTAGAGCCCTTTCTCCTCTTCACGCGGGAGATGAACTGTTGAGAACGCCACTTACGAGACAGGCAGGACGACACGAAGGAACGCACCCCCTCCTCTGATCCGGCACTTCCCACTTCTAGAAACCTACCTCCAGGAGAGTATACAGCTGAAGATAGGCTCACCTCAGCATTGTTTATAATGGCAAGAAAAGAAAATTTAGAGACCCAAGACCATCGCCAGGAACATGATCAAAGGAATGGATGACCGGAGCCGCTGGAAACCGGCGGACATTCTACGGGCGGCCGTGGAACGGGGTCCCTGACCCGCTGTGGGGTGACAGCCCAGGGCACTGGAGGTCTGTGAGGGCGGGGGGAGAAGAGAAGAGAGGGGAGGGGACAGGAGGGGAGGGGAGAGAGGGGTCCACCATGATAAGATGGCTCCCTTTGGTAATGAGATGGGAGATCTTTTCCACTCTCGCTCTGTAAGAAATACACACGTACAGCACGTGTGTTTAAAGAGTCGATGTGCCTGGGATGCTGGGGCATACGTGTTATTTCTCAGCCGAGCCAATCAATACTCTTACCGGGATTCTGGGGGCTTACGGAGTGGCCTATGCCTCATTTCACGCCCCATCCCTAACCCGCGGTGTGACTTCATTGCTCTGGGACCTGGACTGCTCGTGGGTAAGATGAAAGAACTGCATCCACGCATCTCCGAGGTCCCTTTTAGCCCTGATGGCTTCAGTGGCTTTTGTGAATTCTGCTTACACAGTGGTTCTTAATCTCCTAAGTCATGAAGTAATTAAGCCATTTCTTAATTCCTAAATGTGAAGCACCATCTTTCTGTCCAGTTACTAGAGAAAGACCCGTATGTAGCCTCCATGAGTCAGCTCCGTGCCCTGCTCGGTGCTGGGTTCGGTTCAATCATTCCAGCGTTTCTTCGGTACCTACGAGATGCCCAAGAGTCCTCTCGGTGTGTGGCGACAGGGGCCCCCACAAGGGTCCACTTTGATGTGTCCTGGTTCCCCTCACCTGCGCTTCCCTCCGCCCACCCCCATACTCAGCGCAAAGCAGCTCCACCAGGAAGCGGGCAGCAGAGAGAGGATGTGGCTCGCACGGGCCAGCGCTACGGCTTGGTGGTGGTGGTGGCGGAAGAAAGTCTGGTAAGAAACTAACTCGAAACACTGGTTTCCTCTGTTTAATATCAATCATATTAACAGAGTGTCGCCATTAACTCTGACCCTAAAACCAAACGTGTCTAGGCTCAACCGCACCGCCGTGCTACCGTTCTGACGAGGACCTTCCCTCGCCCCGCGGGGCTCTAATGAGCACATGCGTTCAAGCGCGCGCACAGCGCCCTCCAGTCTCTTAAGGGGCTTGTGGGACGCTAACTGGAAATGCAGCGAGAAACACGCCAGCGGGATCACTCCCATCCGGTCTTACGGGGTGTGGCCACCATCACCGGGGACTGGAAGTAAGAATCTGCAGGTGCGTCACATCACCTTACCCCGCTGAGTGTGGGCGCCCACACGCACAGCTGGGATGGTAAAACAGCGCCCGTAAGACCCCACTGGGGCCACCTGCTCCTTCATTCATTCATCACTTACTCACTGACTAACCCACACAAACGAGATCAGCCTCCACGCCCTGTTCTGGTGCCCATTTCAATCTGTGCCTAACGGACAAGTTCCAGCGACCTTGGCACTAGCTGCTCCTGCAGGTCTGGACCAGAGAGTTCAACGTGTGGGGATGACTTGGAATCTGGAGCCTGACTGCCCACGTGACCACGCGGCTCCGGCACTTTCCGCCTGTGTGAACTTGGACTGCGGGACTGAATCTCCCTGTGCCTCAGTTTCCCTTATGGCACTTAGTTCACAAGGTTTTATGAGAATAATGTGAGCTAATATCTGCTTGGTACTCAGAACAGCCAGATGCACACAACCTACTATATGAATATTAGCTATTTCTGAAGCCCAATTTTTAAATGGTGAAATACTTAAACCTTAATGCCCCAGATCAGAGGACATCAGAGAGAACCTGGAACTGGAGGGGGACCTCAGAAATAATATGATTCTACCTCCTTATCTTTTAGCAGAGTCCTTGTAGGCAGAGGGCCGTGGAGCCTCATGGAAGGCCAGCAGATCTCTGCTGCCCCAAACACAGAAAGGCTGGGTCTGTCTTCTCTCCAGGCCTCTAGTTATGAACAGGTTCCTGGGCCACAAAACACAGTGAGGACATTTCCCATCGAAGGAAGAGTACTTTTTAAAAAAGAAGTGTATAAAGCAATGTTCTGTGTGTGTGTTAACACATTCTTTTCTAAAAGCCCACCATGTGCTAGTAGTGACCAATGGGATTTGGGTATTTGATGTGTCTACACAGGAGGTTTTGGGGGAATCTTGCATTGTCCTTGGGGAAAAAAAAAACTAATCATAGTTTGATTTTGTAGAGCTCACTGGGTAAGAACATACTTTTGTTTCAAATAAGGAACAGTAACGAAGTCAGACAATATTTGAGAAAGGACAGAATTTGAAAGAAGATAATTTGGTCAGAAGTAACTTGCTGTTTGGCATCATTAAAGTCTCTCAGAACGCAGAATCTCTACGCTGAAACCACCTGCGGTGTGATACGTGTGTACTGTGCGATCTGTACTTGGAATCTAAGTTTTAAAATAGGACACAACAGATAAGCTAGTTGTTCTCCCCAACTCACTTCCACCCTCTCTCAAGTGCTCCTAGTTTGTGGGAGCAGCAGGTCAGCAAAGTCCTAGGACCGAAGGTCATGGACTCGCTCTTAATTCCTGGCTCTTGGTCACCAGCCACGGCCAGGCCACGGTCAATGCTGCCTGCTGGAAGGTGGCTGGGACTTGGCTCCCCCTTTAACCCCTCCCCAGGTCCAGGCCACCTCTCCTTGGCTTGGGCCACCGCAACAGCTCTTAGAAGAGCAGGGGAGGGGAGGGACACTCACACCAGCATTTCCTCCTGGTGTCACCTCGCTCGTTAAAGCTTAAAATAGAGAACTCAGGTCAGGTGCCTCCAGCAGCTTCCCCTGGCCTCAGAACAACATCCGGTTTCCCACGACCCACACGGCAGCTTGACTACTTTCCCCTCCTTCTCTCGGCTCTAGTCCCGCTGGGGTCCTCCCGCTCTGAAGGCACGCTGACCTCAGCGCCAAGGGACCTGCTCGTCCTGCAGGGGCTGAACTGAGTGCCACCTCCTCAGAGGGTCCCCTGGCTGCGGGCCCCCCTGCAAACCTGTCCCTGTCCCTCTCATGCTCAGCCACAGGACATCTTACCTGGTTCACGGCATTTATCAGAGGTTACAATCATCTTATTCAGCTACTCATACCCCGGGCTGACTGCTCCCACCTCCGGAGGCCAGGCGGGCTGGCTTATATGCTGTTCTATCTTTAGCATGAAGAGAATTCCCTAGAAAAAGCCGTGTGCCCACGACTGGTAATTCGTCTGTTTTCTTCAGAAAGCTCTTTGCTTGGCAGCTTCGTGCTTGCCGAGACGTATCTAGAATCTATCGTAAATCCGATCTACATGCTGTGTAGATTTTCTGGCTTGAATTCAGTACGGCTTAACCTACGCACTGTTCACACGTTATTCCTTGGACGGCAATACATACAAAAAAAATAAGCTCGTCTTCTCCACGATCATGTTTCCTCATACGCTCTCGGGGGTGCACCGCTGTGTGAGCTTTCCCATGCGTACAGATCGGTGCGGTGACCGCCCATCGGGATGCGGCCCGGCACCCGCAGCCCGGACAGCCCCTCTGCAGTCACGCCCCAGCCCCGCCCTGTCCACCGTCCATCACTGCGGCTGTGTCTCTCTGAGACTGTCCTAGGGTGCGACTTCTCAGCACACTGCCCTCGGGAGACATGCACGTTGCTGTGTGTACTGGTGACCCTGGTCAGTGGCGTGTGGTATCCTGGTGGAGGACACCTGTCTCCGTGCAGCCCAAGGTTAAGTGTCTGGGTGGTGGTCACCGATGGCCTGGTCACGACACTTACCGGGCGAAGACCGTGCCGCTGCCACCCGGGAAAGTGTAGGGGTGCTGCTTTCGGAACACGTGTCCCACGCGACTGCAGGGGACGATCTCCAGGCTGCCACCGCACTGCCACACACGGAACGAGATCTCTGAGAGGAGGAATGAGACAGGGTGACTGACAGAGCCCCGGGCTGCTGTCACCCCAGATGGGGCTCTGACGCCTGCCCGCCCGCCACCGTCCCATCGAAGGGCTCTCGTGCCCTCAATGGCTGAAGGAAGTGGGAATAAGGGAGCTGACTCCCTCCAGAACACACTCTGGAACTTTCTATGGTGCAGACATCTGACACACCCCGGGCTCCCGGCTCCGTGTCATACTCCGGAAAGTAGGTGCAGCGGATCTGGGAATCAGCTTGGCTCTAGGGAGCATCTCACAAAATACATGTCTGTCAGGTCATTAAGTCGTGGACCTTAAACGTACACAACTTCAAACGGTCAACTCAACAGAGTTGGAGAGACAAAAAAAGAGCGAATGAACGTTCACACTCGGTTCACCAGGAGGGGGTCTCCACAATGGTGGTGTTTGACAGAAATGTGAAATGATGTAGACAAAAAGGAGAGAAATATACAAATTACCTATGCTGGGGCACGCGCAATCGTAGATTTTAGGACAGATCTGAATTATGGAAGTCAATGAGATCGAAGTTACCAAATCCCATGTTTCCACTAAAGGATTCTATTCCAAGTTCAAAAGAGAGTGAGCACGTGGAAACGGTTTTTCAGATTCAGATGAGTCACCTTGAGAAAAATGTGAATCTTTGGTCTATTCTGATTATAAAGGACCCTGGCCACAGACCACACATGTCCGTAGAGCATCGCAGTATCGAACAACAAAACGCTTGCACTGAATCCTTCACTAGCTGGCTTGTGACCACGGAGTAGGACATTGGCACTTGCTTCGTATCAACACTGTTAGAAAAGCCATCGCTGAAGGTGTATAAACATCAAAAGGCATGAAATGGCCACACGGTAAAGCTTTGATCGTAACTGCAGTGGGCCACCGTACACACCGTCTTCCTCTAAACTTCCTCTCCGTGCACTGAGAGCTACCGCACACCTGGGCTTTCTCTACCTGGGAGAAAAAAACGCTTCCCTTAAGCTTCACAATTTATGCTTATCCATAACTGTGCATTATTAGCAGGCTTCCAGTCACCTGCGGAGTTCACAGTGCCTCCTGGACTACAGCAGTGACCAAAGACGCTTGAGTTAGTCACAGATCCCTCAAAGCTGGCCACGGAGTTCCCCAGCCAGTCACCAGTGGTTCGCCTGCCTGGACACAAAAGCCACCCGCAGGAGTACGGAGACACCCAGGGCTGGCGATGCTCAGGCCGACACCAACACACTCACCGCCCTGAGCATCTGTCCTCAGGCAAAGCTCGGCACGTGGCTGGCGTCTGTAACAGCCCAGCATCTGCTGACCAGGCACCTGTTCTCATCGCCAGCCATCTGAGTGGCCGTAGCCGACGTCGTGGTTGGTATAAATGGGCACTTCCTCGACATCAAGAACATAGTGGGGAGGCCAGATGGAATCCACAGAACCAGCAGTCACTACTCCAAGTATGGAGGGGTCAGGGGTCAGGGGACTACAGCAGACCCCGGGTGAGGCGCTTGGGAAATCCTCCAGGCCAGGCCTTGTCTGCGGCAGCAGGTGCCCAGACTGTGCAGCTGAAGTTGAGGAAACACCCTGGTGGCTGGAAACGAGTGACCCAGGCCGCCATTCCAGGCCTTTTGGAACCAATCGCCTTGCAGCCTTAAGAACTGCAGGGGCACGGCCACCCCAGCATCTGCAATGAAGGGCTTCTGACTTTTCTTTGTGTCCAACAACACTTTGAATAAGAAGTTCTCTGTATATCAGGACATGAAATTAAACATACGTTTGTCTAATTGGAACATTCAAAATCGGGGTGGGGGGGAGGAAGGTCCCGTGGCTGCTGTAGGGGGAAGCCCTGAAAGGAAGGGGATCCACTCAGGGATCTGGGGGGGGATTTTGAAGACCACGCACGATGACTATGTTCAGCTCTGATTTCACTTGAACTTGGGGTCGCTACAACGTAGGGAATGGCTCCTCAAGAGAACTTGGTAGATTCTGAATTAGGTATCTTGGCCTTTGCTAATGACCAGCTCTGGGATCTTAGGTAAGACCTCGGTCCTTCAAGAAAGCATGAAAGGAAGTGTACGGGTTGTCAGAAATCTCTATGCTGTGCACCTGACACTGACAAAACTGTAATACTGTGTGTTAGCCATCGTCTAATCAAAAAAAAGAAAGAAAGAAAGAAAGAAAGAAAGAAAGAAAGAAAGAAAGAAAGAACCAAGAAAGCATTAGATGAGCAGGTATACCAGAAGCCGAAAGCAGCCTCTATCCCAAAGCTGTGGGGACACGCACAGAGGACAATCATGCCCAAGGAGCCTGAGCCCTGCGTCTCACAGGGGCTCAGGATCCGATTTTTCGTCTTTTTAACTGCTTACATGAGGCTGTCTGACCAGCTGGAAAAGCGGAAGCTGCAGTGCTTCCTTTTGGTGGGGCAGAGGGTGTGCTTGGAGGAGAAGGTTTTGGATGTCACTCCCGCATCCCTGCACTCCATCTCTCCTGACTCACGCCCGCGCAGGCCACGCAGGCTGGACACCACCGGTGTGTACCCGGAGCTCAGAGAATGAAGTCGGAGCGGTTTCAGAAAGAAAGACTCAGACGGGGACTCCTGTTGCCGAAACCCATGCGCCTGCTTGACCTCTGAAGACAGTAGGGAGCGGAGCGGCTTTATCGAGCCAGGCAAGGGGAGGGAAGGTACGAGACGGGGCCCAGACAGGGGTGCTTCAGCCCCTCCCACCCCACCCCGCCCCACCCCACCCCACCCTGACCCCAGTCCCCTCAAGTCCTTCTGGGGAGCCTCTCTTATGGCACAGCTGCATGAATATAAAACCAAACCACCACCACCACCACCAAACAAACCAGGTCATTTAAGATGATTAAGATTAAGATGTCCCCTTTGATGCTTCAATCAACACTAATCACCATGACACAAAGCTGGCCATCTCCTCATGTGCTGAATCCATGCTTTCGGCTAACAGCACACATTTTGGAAAACCACACAGCGGCTCAGGAGATGGTCACCCAAGTGACGTGCTATCCTACTGGGGGGTCCTGGCTGGCCGGGCCTCCGCGGGGCATGGGGAGATGTGTGCGGAGCAAGGGTGACTCAGAATTCTCCTCAGAAGGTTAGTAATTCTTCTGAAGCCTTTCATGCTCAAACGACTTTAATACAAGTCCTCCCTGCCTGTCAACATGTCGTTAAATAAAACAAAAGGAGTTTGACGCACGGTCCTTTGTCCCAGGCTGCTTACTGAGCCTAGAGAAGGTTTCGACATCAAACCACGGCGGACAAATTTTCCACAGCGGAGATGTTATCACCAACTTTAACATCATAAAACAGAGAAAAATAAGAGGCTAGTCTAGATTTTTCTTTTAAACAAAAAAAATCCAAGTTTCTCATACAGGTAGAACTACTAAAAATGACAGTGACATCATGTTTCCCTCCTTGTCCCTGTCCCGCTCTCTCCCAGGGCACGCCCACCCAGCCACTGATGCTGGCGAGACTCAGCTCAGAACCCTGGCAGAAAACCATAAACAAACAATAGAACAAAATAAGAAGAGTCTTTTTATCTTAACGCGATAAATAGGATGTGGCTAGTAATGTAGACCGAAGTCTAAAAAATTTCATCATCCCTAAACCTAAGGAAAACTGATTGGCATGGGTTATTTAAAAAAAAAAATAAATAAATAAACCAATTTAGAACCACTCACAAAACAGTCAAGAAGGGCTTAAATGCCACGGCCTCTCAGCGCCATGGGCCTCCCAGCGTCACCGTGCAGTCTACCCCACGAGGCCGGCCCGGGCTGGCTTCCCACCCCACGTGGCTAAACACGGAGCCCGCGGCCTGCAATGCATCCCCGTGTTTGGAAGCTCGCTGTCCGAACCCTCGGATCCAGAGGACGTTAACGAGTCTGCCCTTCCCTTCAAGGACAGTGCCCGTCTTCTAGCATCCTGTGCTCTAATTGAGGGCGACAGCTTTAATGCCCAGCCCCAGACACCATAGTGGAAGGGATACTATTTATACTTGTTTGGGGGGCTGACACCGAGTAGGGAACGGTGACTAAGGTCTTTACAGTTCTGTGTTTTTTTTCCCAACTGGCTCCCTGCACACCGCCAGCTCTGGCCTAACAGCCTCTTCAAAGCTTCCACTTTTCATTTCGACGCCCTTGGTGGGCAGGAAAAGGCCCTGGTTTCCTCAGAACGGGAAAGCGCAGACCCAGGCTCTCACGTACCCAGGTTCTCTCCGCCCCACACATCCATCATCATATCGTACTTCCCGAGCTCCTCGAAGTAGAGCTTGTCCATCACGAAGAGCCCGCCGGCAATCATAGGGGTTCTGAAAAGGCAGAGAGGGTGGAGGGAAGAGGGGGACAGCCCAGAGGTCAAGGTTAGAGCTCCTGCATTTTAATGCCAAGGTCAGTTCTATAAGCTAACTTTAAAAACCACGGTGCAGCCCTGGCTCCCCGTTCAGAGCTCAGGATGCCCTCACTCTGCTTTTCCACTGCTGACTTCTAATGCCTCCCCCCTGCCCTGTTCGGACACTCCCACAGTGCAAGGGGCTGGACAGTGTCCCCTCCGGGAGAGTGACTGTTGGAGCTGGGGCACTCCCTGACAAGCGGCCATAAGCAGGTACTTGGCTTTTCTGTGCCTCAGTTTCCTTAGAGGATTACCAAAAACAATACACACAAGCTCTCAGGACACTTGGGAAATGCTCGATGTCAGCCATCCTCCTCCTTATCCTGGAGCCCGTTCCTCCTGTCAGCTGGGACCCACCACCTTTGTGTCTCCTCAGCCTGGGAGGGAGTCACCTGAGCCCCTACTTCCATCCCTGTAGATGCCCTGAGATCTCAATGTCGAGTGCTGGTGGTCTAGAGCACACTGTGATGCTGGTGCTCGTGGCCAGTGTGCGTGGTCACGGCCGGAAGTCAGTGCCGGAGTCAGTGTTGGAAGTCAGTGGCAGAAGTCTGTGGCACTGCTGCCCCTTAACTGTGTGTCTAGCCTGAAGAGACACCCCACATTCACGCCCAGCCACAGAGGGTTGACTCCTGACTCCCAGCCTAAATTCCTCAGCAGGACATGTCCTGAGGACCTGAAAGCCGGCTGTTAATGGCTCTAAGCTCTCTCCTCGATGGGCCAGCAGGCGAGCAGAGGTAGCCCAGGGAGGCAGTGGACCAGTTAGGGCAGCAGGGGTGACTCACGCTCTCCCGGCCCTGCCCTTTTCCCTGGTCCCCGAGTTCAACTTGAAGAGCCTGTCCTGCTGGAAACCGCTCTACCGCACGCACGGGAGGGAATGCCCAGAACTTGTAGATCTGCCTTGTATAGTTCATCTATGGGCTCCGTCTGAGGAAAACTCAAAGTACTTTAATCTATGACCTGGTGGCAGAAACTCTTCCTGGAGCCGGGACAGGGGAAACGGAGTCGCCGGCGGGCAGGAAAATGAAGAGCCTAACCACGTCTCTAGGAAACCCGGGGCCAGAGCCAGGGCCTACCTGCGAGGGGCACCCCGAGGGATGCCTGGCACTTACTTTATGGGGGCAACAGGGTTCCCCTGCCGGGATCTCCTCTGCTCTGGGGTCATGTAATCCCATTTGAAGACCAAGTTCCAGTCAAAACCTGCCGGAAATTTAACAAAATGTTAGGGTGCTGATGAGAACGGAGTGTGCTCCTGGCAGCTCTGTCCCTCACGGCTCAGATGTATTTGATACTTGGACTGGACTCACTGAAAACCACACACAGCAAAACAATGAAATAAAAGCACCACCGCAAAGCAGCAGTAGAGGGGGGAACCAGCGGTGGTGGTGGTGGGGGGTGCACACCGACTCCTTCCCCGAAAAGCTCACCCCCAACGGAAAATGTGGCTCAGCCTTTCCTACAATAAAATGCCTGAGAATCTCTCTGACAGGGAACAGAGAGCTGCTGAGGAGGGAGCAAACGGGCGGGACAGAGTTGAGTTTGCCACGCCTCCCACCCTGTCCCGGGTGAAAGTACCTGGGGAGGGACGGGAGCACAGGTTCCCTGGGCAGCCAACTCGGCCCCCTCAGGACCCTTGACTGCCACTAAACCACAGGGGGCGAGGTGGCAGAGGGGACCCTTTTAGGTGAAAATGAGCCAAAGGAAGTGGCAAAGCGGGAAGCAGGCTGTGATCTCTAAGACGGCAGCTGTCCTCATTCACCCTTCGAATCCACAGGCCCCTTGGGGCGGCAGAGCCTAGGCCGGGTTCCTGGACGTGGTTCCCGACATCTGTGGGCCCCTGGCCCAGCTGTCTGGTACGTCCTTATGCAGAAGGCACCCTGCATCGAGCCAGTGCACCCCACCTGCTGATGCTCTCGGGACGCACGAGGAGACCACTCTTGGTAACAGATGGCTCACTGCATTTCCAAAGGTCTGACGGCCAAACCTAACTACTCCAGGGCCGTCTGACCTTGAGCTCTGTGCTGCCAGGCTTTCCGCTGGTCGGCAGGACTTGAGCAGTGCCTAAGTCTGGACTTCAGTTTGCTCCGAGGTCGACATTCCTCTGCCCTGCAGCCCGAACAGGGCAGGCTGGGAGGCTTGGGCTGGAAGGTCTCCTGGGCCCACACAGGATCCTTTATGGCCCAACCAAGGGCATGGGACTAAAAAGGTCTCCCAGCTGTCACTGCCAAGTGCAGCAGGCTAGCAAAGAGGCAGCAAGCTGCTGGGGGCCCGGGCGGCAGGGAGAGCAGCACAGAGGGGAAACTGAGGCAGGCCCCACACAGGCTTTTCCTGAAGAGCTCGGCTCTCCCTGAGGCAGAAGGCCCGCTTCAACCAGGGAAACAACACGCGTCCTGCCTGTGTTATGAACAGACAATGCAAAGGCCTCAGTGGGCCTGCTGACATAATGTTATCTGCATTTTTTGAATGATCATTGTTATTTTATTAATTTGGTCCAAAGAGACAAAGTTTATTAGGTTTTGAGGATCTGCTAAAAACATCATCCTTGATTCTTTTTCCTAAAGAGATTTGAGAAAATGCTCCTGGAGTAAATTTGTACCTCTTCTTCATCCAGCAGGAGGACTGCACTGCCCCCCTCCTCCCCCTCCCCTCCACCACCCCAGGGCATCTATGTCCCTGCACCGGCTCTCAAATAAGCAGCTGCTATGGGAAAAGAGAGCTGTCAAATCTCAGCTCTTGTAAATCCTCAGGGGAAGAAAACATTCTGAAACTGCTTTCTTGATAACTAGGGATCAGTCCTCTTTAAAACGCCAAAGCTTCTCACATTTGCGAGAATCTTTTCTGAATGTTATGGGTCCTGATGTAAAGAGTGTCCCCCAACCACGACCGCCCTGTTCTGCTACCTCGGGATGGGGGAGCTGCTCACGTACGCTGACCTCACGCTGGCCACTCTCATCCCTCCACTACCCTCTGTGGCCGGTGCTCCTATCCCCCCACTGCTTGGATGGGCATGCTGAGGTCCGGAAGTGACCTGGCCAGCCCTCGGTGACATGGCAGGTGGGGTCAAAACCCCGGGTCTCCCTGACTGTCTCAGCACTTTGTTTTCTGAGGTCATGCCCAGTTTTATAGTCTTATGGTCTTCAATTTTTGATGCTAACTATCAGTGGATCTTGTGTCTGTGTGTCCGTGCGACTACCGTCCGTCCTTCTCTGATCAGCTCAAAGTGTTAGAAGGTGGGAGAAGAAGCCCCTTGTTTCACATAAAGAAACCGGGGTGCTGGACGGCTAGGAAAGAAACCACGGATCTCAGGTATAAGGAATCAATAGTGAACAGATTACACCAACAGAAGGCGAAGGCTTTGATATTTCTTTGAGCTGTCCTGAGCCGTCTTTGCTGCCCTCTTGGCTCTCGGCCACGTTCTGAGAGGCATGGCTGCCCACCAGTGGGGTTTCAGAGCACAGAGCCTTCACCGTTGGGCCCCCGCCAGCCCCCCAGCCCCAAGGACACAAGGACAACTCATAAGAGCCAGACACCACGGGACCAGTTCCTTCGAGGGGGCCGGTGTGGTCCCCGCGCCCCTCTCAGCACCACGAAGCGCGGCATGAGCTCAGGGCTTCTCCAGGCTGGTCCCTTCGTGGGTCTGTCCCACCAAAGCTACTTTGATATTTACACTAAGACCTCACATGCCTTGTTCATGCCCTGCCTTCAAAAGCACATGATGGGGTTTTCCAGAAGCTGCAGAACGTGTGGTGTCGGTTCTCTGGTGGACAAGAGGACATGCACTTGCAGCGTCTTGTGTTTTAACAATTTCTTGGCTTTACTCCCTAATACAGCAAGTGCTGACACATACTGCCCACGTGAGCAGACATTCTTTGGGGCCTCTGATGGTTTTGGAGAAGGTGGAGCGCGTTAAGACCAGTTACTCATGGGGCCCGGGTTGGGGGGCGTAAAGGAGCACATCCGGAGGCTGTGGGGACCAATAGGAAGCCGATGCGGCCCCTCGAAGCAGGATGTGGGGTGTCGGCAGGGTGGGGAGGAGGTGTCCACAGCCAGCCAGGTGCAGGGGTGATGAATGGGTGGGGGTGGTCGGCGGGAGCCGGTGATGATCCGGCTGACCAGGCTTTGCCACTAGGGAGACGCAGGCTGTCAGGGGCACCGGGGTCAGAGAGGAGGCAAAGGCGAGCCCAGCCCTTCCCCTCTGCAAACCCCGAGCGCTGTGACGCTCAGCACAGACCACCTGTCAGCTCGGGTGACGCCTCGTCCTAGCCTCCGACTTGGGAAGACTGAATCTTCTCTGATTAAAAATGACACCCACACTGTGTACTAAGCCACACATGTCATCACAGCCACAGAAGGTCAAAGAGATAAGAGGAGAACAGGAAGCGCAGGAAGTTCTTTAAGGGAAAGAAGGCCATTTTTCTCTCTTTATGAAAGTCTACTTGTCGGGCACGGAGACTGCCTGTGCTCCCGGCACGTGCGCTGGAGGTGAGCACACGGCCATCACTGTCACTTCTGACACTGAGCGGGAGCAGTCATCAGCCGTCATGCGGACAGCCGGAGCAAGGCAGGCTGGACCGGGAGTGGCACCTACCGCCTTTCAAGTCAGCAGACGCCCCCACGTACTGAAAGTTGTCCATATTAATGACATCGATGATAGGGGACACTACCCGCGTCCTGTCCTGAAAAACAAATCAACAAAAAAGGGGGAGTCAGTATCACAAACTAAACAAAGCATCCCGCCCCACCAGGGGCAGGCATCGGCGTCCGGCAGTATCAGGGACACCTGCCAACCCTCCCGCCACCTGCCACTCCAGGCCGGAGGAGGCGCTGGGGCTCCCCATCCCACGTGCCCCACCCTCCGCCATCACAGACGGGGTCTGTTCTGGGCCAAGTGAGGTCAACAGGGAGCAGGCAGAGAGAATCGCTCCCTGCTAGCAGACAGCCGTGGCCACGGGACACCTCTGGCGTTTGCTGCCTGAGCTGATGGCCAGGACTGCCCCTGTGTGTCCCCCGCATTCTCTTCTGCTTCCCCAAGCACCCAAACTTCCAAGCACGGGGCTACTCTCCTTCCGACAGAATCTAAGCTCAGCTGTCCTTAAGCATCCTATTCTGTGAGCTGCGTGCGGTCAACGCTGGGAAAGGACTCACAGCGGAGGGAGCCACGCAACGATGCTGGGAACCTGTCTTTGTGCGTGTGGTGGGAAGCGCCTGGATGTGGCTACGGCCGAAGGTAACCCAAGGAAACTCAAGAATCCCAGATTCGAAGCACATCTCACCTGTGAGTCCACCCAACAAAACATATTACCCCCTTAGATGGAGGCATTTCTTTCTGCCACAGTCATTACTCTGGTGGTCTGGGAACATACAGCCTTTCAACTTTCCTGTCCTGTTTAAAATCAGATGCTCGGGGCGCCTGGGTGGCTCAGTGGGTTAAAGCCTCTGCCTTCGGCTCAGGTCATGATCCCAGGATCCGGGGATCGAGCCCCGTGTCGGGCTCTCTGCTCAGCAGGGAGCCTGCTTCCCCGCCCCCCCGCCTGCCTCTCTGCCTGTGATCTCTGTTTAACTTGTGATCTCTGTTTGTGAAATAAATAAATAAAATCTTTAAAAAAAATCAGATAATCAGATGCTTGATGCTGGTGAGAGGCACTGCCCCACGTGGCTAGTTAACAAAAGAGTAAATGCTTTCCTCGAGCCACTTACAGAACCCGTGTTCACCATAAAAAAGACTGCGAGTAACAAACGAGTAATCCGCAGAGCTAGCAACGGAACACGTCAGAGGAAGATGTAAGAAGAATGTCAAGTTTCAGCAGCCCCAGGTGCAAGTTTACGGGGTAGAAACCCCCGTGCGGGCCCTGAGCACGGACAGTCCGATCTTTCTCACTCGGCTCCGCCTGGGCCTAGGGATGGGAGTCGAAGAACACAGTGTGCTTGGCTTTTACATCCATTTCTTTTGTTTTGACTTCTTTTGATAGGACGGGACTTAGTGAGCTTTCTAATTTTCCACTCCTTCCATCCTTACTTGGGGAGAGGGTACTAGAAAGGCTTGCGGCGGTCCCCACCGTGGAGGCATGGGGTCTCCGCACACGCTAGCATCTTGGCTGTGGCTTCCCAGTGTCCTCTGCCAGCTGGGGGAACAGTCTGGTGCTATGAAGACTGACCTGGGAGAGGGTGGGTGGGGGGCTACAGGAGGGTGGGGTTTCCAGGGGGTTCCTCCTTCAGCTAGGTGGGGTGTGACGTGCCAGAGGGCTCAGTGAGGGATGGGCTAGGACCGGCTTTGCCTTCCTGGCTCTGCCTCCTGTAAGAATTTTGGATGTGTTATTCAAGTTCCCTGGACCCCCAGTCCCTCTTGGGTCAAATGGGGGTAACGGCCGGATCCCAGGTAATAGGTAACGTGTCTAACGTGTGGTTAGTAAAGAGGTCTGAATATCATACTGTCACTATGAGTGTACAGAGCCACACTACCGCCACATCGTAATTACCAGTGGCTGGTGGTTAGTTAGCATCTCATGACTTACTACCCGTCGGCTATGTCCTCGTCACGCTTGACTTGCAAAAGGCATGACTCGTGCACTTCCTATTTCTCCAGTACTTTCATTACGTTTGCTTCATCACCCCAAAGAAACACTTTCTCAGTCAGGAGGAAAGGAAGTCAGCAGAACAAGTAAAAGGCAAGAGACATGGCAACGGGCCAAAAGGAATGCCACTGGCGAGGTTTCTGGAGACAGCGAGCCACGGGTCACCCTGACAGCCTCAAAGGGTCGACGGGGTGGTCGCGGGCCCCCGTCCCGCCACAAGCCCGCAGGCTGGGTTTCTCAGCGAGCAGCGGGCGGGAGACGCATACCCTGGCCCCCAGCTCTCAGGCAGCCAACGCGCGGCTTGCACTTGCTGGAGGCCCGGCGCTGGTCTGAGCTCCGAGGCTGGCTACAAAGCAGCCGGCAGGGGAGGACGGCGCTCCGAAGGGAAAGAAAGGGCCTGCGTCAGACGAATCAGCCTCTGCTGATCCTTGCCTCCCGCCTGCAGTTGCTGTCCTCCCCAGCCAGATTCCCACGGTGAGCAAAGCGCCCTTTGAGCAGATGCCCAAGCGCGGACTCTTCTCCTCTCTGGCATGAAGGCAAACCGCAGCGCGAGCCCCGCGCCTCACCTCGGCCACCCTCTCCAGGAGGGGCTCCAGCCAGTGCTCGTTGCACTCGCAGTGGCTGTCCAGGAACGTCAGCACCTTGGCCTGGGCCGCGTCAGCCCCCCGGACCCGCGAGCGCATCAGGCCTGTGGAAGGGGTTTCAAAAGCGCGTCAGGGTATCTGAGAAAAAGGCCGCGGCGTCCTCCAGCCCCCGGCCTGGACACCCCACGCGGCTCTGCGGCCCCGCGAACCGGGGTGGGAGGATCAATACCAGGACAGAACTGCCAGCACTTCCCCCTCCGAAGTGAACTGGGTGCCCGGGAAGACGACCTTCTCAGAACGCCTGCCCTCTGAGACAGACCTTTACGCAACTGAGCTGTCCTCCATCGAGCGCTCGGGTGTGGGACTTTGACAACTAGTTTCCCGTGACACAGCCACAGGGTTTTACAATTAACTGGGCCATGGAAGGTGTTACTCAGAACTTCCAGGGGCTGAAGGCGCCGATGTCGGTGGCGGTAACGCAGTGAGAACAGCGCTGCAAATATCTTTGTCTTCCTAAGACTTTGCGCAGCCCAGCAGCACCCGGGACGAACCCCTGGTGACTGGCTTTTACGCAAAATTGGTTCCGTATCAGTCAAATTAATACCACCTATATACTTGTGATCTGTGCCTAACGCAGGGTTTTTACGATCATGCGAAGTCTTAGCCCAAGTGCTGTCTGCGGCGTCACCGGGAGGGGCGGGCGTCTTCAGTGGCTTTTGCCATGGATGCCGGGCCCCAGATGGCCCCCCTGCCTTGCCTGTGGTTCCGCATGGATAACACAGTGTCAGTTATCCATGGTCAACCATAGTCTGGAAGCAGATGACCCTCCTTCTGATGTCTTCTCAGAAGGCCAGCTGTAGCCTGACACTATGTCATTAGGTCTTTGTCACTCATGTCACTTCACCTCATCACATGGGCATTTTATCATCCCGTCAGCACGAGAAGGGTGAGTGCTGTAGGATCAGATATTTTGAGAGGGACCACATTCACCTAACTTTTCTGTAGTATACCACTATGACTGTCTTATTTTACCATTATTGTTGTTCATCTCTTACGGTGCCTGATGTAGAACTTAAACCTCGTTGGGGGTAGGTACGCATAGGAAGAAACAGTCCAAAGAGGGTCCCGTATGATCTGTGGTTTCTGGCATCCCCAGGGGTGGGCCAGTGTTTTCAGTTGCTTCATACATTGTAGTCAAAATGGGTTTTCCATGGTTCTTACAGAGCTGCGTGCCACGGGAGGGAAAAGAGACGAAGGCGTCTCATACTGGAAAGGGCCAGAGAGCAGGCAGAAGCAGTCAGACCAAACGGGGCTCAACCCTTAGAAGGACAGAATCACGCGGAGTGGAGGGCCCGTGCCGGTGGTGTTTCCCGCAAGGTTACTCCACGACCCACCGCAACAACACCTTTTCGGGTTGTGGTGTCAGAGGACAGAGTCCGGGGTCTCCGGAGTAGCTGGAAACGGAAGGAGGAGATCCCGGAAAGGAGTGCAGCCCCCGGGCTGAGCACCTCCCCGTAAATCCTCGGTTGACCGCCCGATCCTCAGGCACAGGGGAGACCCCAAGCAGTGGCTGAAAGGGAACCATCGGAGGGCAGGGAGGAGATTTCAGCTGGTGACTACCCCAGGGACACAGACTTTGGCACAGGAGTCCCGCCAAGGTCGTCTCTGAAGTTCCTCAGCTGATTCTAATAAACAGCGAGACGAAGAGTCACCACAACCCTCAGCACTGAATAAAGCTAAGCCGTTCCTTCGCTGCCATAGTATTTTATGCGACTGATTTTCTCTCTCATCCAGCAGCAGTACCGTAGGCACCTGTCTGTACGTTCAAATATATGGGATACACACGCACGCACACATGAGCAGCCAAGCACACGTAGACATTACTGTGTGTGCGTGTTCTCGCTCACTCGTCGCACACTCATTTGTTTCGAACAGCGTCCCACCCTCTGCCTTCCCCCGGTGGCCCCTCCTCACCCTGTTCCAAAACAAAGTGTCAACTCGGGCTCTCACCCACGTGAAGATGCTGAGTAAAAGCGCCGAGAAGGACCCATTTCGGAGGCTAACGGCTCGCCCTGACGAGGCCAGCGGTGTCGGTCAGGGATAAAATACCGACACGAAAAATAATTTCTCTCTTTTCCACCTCTTCTTCTTCTTTTCTTCCCCCCTGTGCTAGCAGACACTTCAGGCTTAAATTCAAAAAGTTATGACGCGGTTTGTCTGGAAGCAAATGTAAGGCAAGACTTTCAGTCTGATCTCAAGGTTTTGGCTTATTCTAAGCTTTGGGAGACGGATGGGGAGTCCAGCAAACGGAGCTGGCTTCGGAGCACGCTGGTCCCCTGGTTTACGTATCCTGAACATCTGGACTGATGACCTTAGTTGGCTAAAATATGGTGCTGATGGCGTGGTCCTAACAGGCTCAGTCGCTTTAACGCGGATGAAATTCGGGCTAAGACGTACTGACTGCTGGACTGTCCAGGGTACCAGAAGATAGAGTGCATATTGATCAGGGATCGCAAGCACCACCACTGCAGAATCAACAGAGTCCTTCTCAAATAACCAAAATGGCACGTTTTAAAGCATCTGTCTCCAGACTACGGTGGAGTCTAGAATCCAGCCGCCGTGCCCTCTGACAGCACGGATGTACGGGATGGTCATTACACTGCGATTTTAGTCTCCTTTCCAGACACTTCAAAGTAATACTTCCCCTTTGGAGTCTCTCTTATAACTGCCAATAAAGTCGACTGATGAGCCCAACTCTGGCAGATAAGACTGACAGCAGGTTTTGAAGCTGGCATTTGCAAAATCCAATAAGCATGTAATTGCAGTGCTATCTTCCTTCTTGGGATACCTCACCTCCAGCGGGCTGTCAAACTCAAATCCCTTATTTTATCAGATGCCTGAAGCATGGAGTCATTAAACTTCTCATTGCTAAATCTTTGTTTTTCTTCTCAACTCTACTACTCCAGGGACTGATAAGCCTTCCTCGATGGTAAAAGGAAGAGAGGAGCCAATTTCCCAAATACATAAATAAAAATGTAATTCGAACTCCTGCCCTAGTATACAAACAGTTTCAATTAAGCTTTGAACATCCTCCCTAGGCTTTGCCGGGAGAGGCTCCCAAGAGGCGCTGGTTGAGAGAGACAGACAAAAAGACTGGAAAGTTAATTGTTCTTCGAGCTGAAATATTTCTTTAAGTCATTGCCGGGTTCGGGAAAAGTCAGAATTCAACAGTCTTGGTATGGAACTAAGAAAAGAGTCTTACCTTCTCGCCGATCATTTCTGAGAACCCGTACCTTCTCAATTTTCCCCAAGAGGGCCCCGTCTTCAGCTAGGGAAAGAGAGAAGTGGAACATTTGGTACCCCATTTACAAGGGCTTTGCACTCAAGTATCGTGAATCTCGGTCATCTGTGGGTAGACAATCTCCTGGGGCATCAAAGAGGCACCCCTTCTTTTGTGGGCCCTGATCTCTGGCCGTCTCGGGAAACGCGTCACTAGCAGCCACGCTAAGGGAAGCTGGCGTCCGGGAGACCGGCCGGCCGTGGGGGAGGAAGCCGACTTGGTACTTACGGTCATTGCTGTAGTCATCCACCAAGATGATCTCTTTTATGAGGTGGGGTGGGCTTTTCTTAAGCACACTGAGGAAACAAAGATAAAGAGTGGAGGCCTTTAAGGGGTATCATTTGGGCTGGGGAATTCTCACATGCTGGGCCCAGACCTTGGCTGGAGAAGCCACTGGCCACTGCTCGTGCTGCGGTCAGGTGACCCGCCTGTCTCCCCCCCCCATCCCCCAGCCCAGACAGCTCTGGCCCCGGGGTGCTCGGGACGTGGGGCCGTGTCCAGCACCCCTCCCGGGGAATGCCTCCCACACGGTGCAGCAGGCAGGCAATGGTGGGGGTGGGGTGGGGGTCTCCTGCCCTCACCTGACCACGGTCCTCAGCAAGGCCGACCTGGCTTCGTTGTGGAAGGTGATCACCACGCTGGTGGCCGGCAGGTCCACCCGCCACTGCTTCCGCTGACACCTGAGGGAAGAGCAAAGACCGTTCTCTGAAGGAAGAGCCGGGCCCGGCCTCGGGAAGGTTCTGGGGAGCGCGGGCAGCCCGACGGGCCACGGCGGACATATTTGGACCAACTGGTGATCCGTAGGAGGGACCGGCCGGTTCTGAGAGGAAGTGACAATGGACATAAGGGACAGGAAAACACGGCCGGAGTTACATTTTAAAAGATGATTTCGGCGGAAAGGAACATATTGAGAACATCTTTCTAGCGCTGAAAAGAAAAACGAAGCGTGTTTTAGAACAGTGAAGTCTCATTTCTTCTCACGTACAGAAACACCTCAGAGGCGCACTTTTCACAGCCACAGCGGGTATTTCTGAGGGCGGGAACCAACTGCGGGTCGGTGTTCTCTTCTCATTCTTCAGCAGCGCGCAGGGCTTCGGGGCTCCTGGCGAAGCTGTGTGTGGAACCTGCCTCCGTCCCGCTGACCGTTCTCCTCCCACCCCTCTACCAAGGCAGCAGGGACACACGCCTGTCACCCTGCCAGGCCGGGGCAGGGTGAGGGCGCGGGGGCTCCTGAGCCCGCGCGCTCTCGCCCTTCGTTTAGGGAGCTGAAGGAACCCCGGGTCGGCCTCTGTACAAAGCTGATCTGGGGGTGCCGGGGAGAAACTACGGGCAGACCAACGCAAGGCACCTGTCCAGTCTGTTCTCCACAAACAGACACAAGACGGCGAGGGCACGGAATGGCACTTTTGAAAAACAGGACTCTGCTAGGCGGAGGCTGAAGACGCTAGAGTATCCCACGCCAGAGGCAGAATGACCCAGGAACGGGGCTCCATCTCAGCACAGACCTTCCTAGGGGACCCTCTGAGGCGGGATCCATGGACCATGAGAACATGCCAGCAGGGAGGGGATGGTGCCGGACACGGAGTGGTAACTCTGCGGCGGGCTCACCGCCTGTCAGGACCACTGGGCAGCCATCAACTTGGGGTTTCAGCGCACTCAGAGAGTTTCCAAAATGGTGGCACCAAGGACACCCGCTTGGAAAAAAGGCTGGGAGACCGTCAAGCATCTTTGCCCCGAGGGAAACCGTTCTCAGTGTTTTCATAGTCAGGGTGGGAAGAGTGAGAGATTTTTGCTGTGAGCCTGTAGCAGGGCGGGAGCTGTCTGTGGCGCCCACAAGGAGGTCCGGACATGCTGGCCTCTGGCACCTGCAGGCGGTCCTGCCCTCACGCAGGGAAGCTCGCTGCCACCAGCACCAAGGCCGCTGGAAGCCTTCCACGGTGCCAAGACACTTTGAAAACCTTGTTTTACCTGTTAGCTCTTAACGCAGCTTACCACCGCTGTGAGGGATCCGCTTCCACAATTAAAGGCATCTATCTTGAATGGCAAATCGGTGAGAAAAGTGCAAAGATTTCTTTAAAAAGTCACCTTTGGAGCTCAGCCACAGCTAAAAGCATTTACGCAGTTAGGGACTAAAGTGGCTGCGCGAGCGGCTCACGGACAATGGCCAGCAGTTCCACACAAACGAGGACATCTGAGAGGAAAATGAGACACTCGTTTTCCCTCCTGACTGGGAAAACGACTTCAGAGGAGCACATTCTCAAGAGAAGCAAGAAAAGCCAGGCAATTAAGAAGCAATTAGGTCAGAATCACAAGATGGACCTCTTTTGTTTATTCTGGTTATCTGGATAGCCCGACTGTCATTAATCATGAGAAAACCGCATCATCTACCCGTCACTGCCGTCCGGGGGACAAAAACGCATTCTGGAATTGATATGGTACCTCATTATGGCTCCCGGCAGCCGCATCTTTAATGACAAGGAGACAGATTGGCTAGTTTTGCTGTCACTCCTTTTCTTTCCATTTTCAGAATTAGCCAATTGTTGGATTAAGGGAGGATGTGCAAGGTTCAGCTGTGAACACATTCCTGATGGCGGTCCTTCCCCCAACGCAATCTGTCATGCATGAGAAGAGTGATGCCCTCTGCGGCGAGGGGCCACGCAGTCCAGTGGGCAGCGCTGAGTGGCGTAGGCCAGGTGCACCCCGGCTCCCGAGCTCCTGGAGCACGGGCCTCCGGGGCCATGGGGGGACTAAACCAGGGAAACACCTCTCCTCCTCGAGGCATCGTCCACTCCACGATCCAATCATGCCCTACCCTCTCGGCTTCCTCTTCTCCATGGGAAGCCTCGTGCTCCGCGAGCGCTGGGAAGTCTCAGGGGGGCCCTGGGAACGTTTTTTCCAGATCACAAAGGGCTGCTGCTTCCACATCGTTTGATGAAAACTCCCCTGCATATTCATGAGGCACCAAGTTCCGCCAGGACTTGGCAGCCAGGAGGCATCCCGTTTTTTAAGGCAAAAGGGATAACGAACAGCAACTGAGAAGTATCTTACACCCCATGAGCTGCGAGGGTATGCGCGTACGGATGCGTATGGATTCAGATCCGAACTCCTCACACGGAGCCAAGAGAAGGGGGAGGGGGGAGCGCAGAATTTCTTTAAAAAGAAACAGAATAAATCTTGCCTTTAAAGACTCCCACCCGTGCCAAGGCGTCTTCACGACTGCAGAGCGAGTGAAACAAGGCCCCATACAGCAGCTCCTCAGGGGACTAGGCTGCCAGGGACGTTCACGCTGGAGCTCTCCCGGGGAGTGGGGGACGGACCGCAGCTCCCTGCAAGCCTGGGGTGGGACGGGTTTGCCGCCGACGGGAGCTGGAAGCCGCGGGTCCCCGGGGACGTGTGACAGGGCCCTGGGCCACATGCTGGGGACGCAAGGTCGCCTGAGTGTCCATGGGTCTGGTACTAGAGTGGTCATCCGGGTGACTTCCTAGCCGGTAAAATGCAGACTTTAAAAATTGGACACAGAGGTTTTCTTTTTTAGGTCTTTAGTTTTAAAATTTCTCTGTGACCACACAGCTCTCAATCTCTGAACTCTTTCTTGAGGGGCTGGAGATGGAGAAAATGTCCGATCTCCATGCCCACGTGCTCCTGAGCCCTTCTGAAGAATGAATTTGTCTCCGGGGCAGACTCGTTCTGACGTGGGGGTTATATCTAGGGTTGAACACAAAGTAGATCAAAGAACCCCGGGCATTGCTTCAAATGTACCCCCAAATGCACCGGGAAGCTAGGGGCTCTGTTTAGGAATGCAGGAGTTAAATCGTGTGTTTTCTAATCTTCTGCCCCGCAGCATGCCACCGCTCACCACCATCTCGACTGGTCCGGTATTTCCGCAAAGGGCCTGTGGTAGCCTTGGTTACCGACTGTGTCATCTGCGAAGATGGCTCTCATAATCTTGCACGGTTATTGGAAAAATAAAATAAAAATATATGAAAAAGAAGGCCACTGTAATTCTAACTCAGGGGTGTAATACACATTTGGTGGTTGTGCATAGTTGGTGCCTGTCATTGGCACGTGCCGGTTGGCATGGAGTCTTCTATGGGAACTTGCCGTTGAGGCCAGTGTGACAGGCATGAGACAGACTAACGCACGTGGAGATCTGGGGGAGGAGAGCATGGTCACTCAGGGGAAGAAGGGTTCCTAGGGTTGCAGGAAAAGCTCAGTGGATGGAAGGGAAGGGGCAGAGAAGGAGGCTTCAATAAACGAAAGAGAGTTCCAGGACATCTACAAGGTACGGAGCAAGGACGCACTTAGTGAGACGGGCATGGCGGCCAAACAGAGGGTGACAGGAGAGAAGAAACGCCGAGTTAACATGCTCTGTCTCCCTGATATGTCCGTCCAACTCAGATTTTGTAAGGAAAATACCGAGCAAGTTGGCTAAATAACAATTAATTTAGTAATTAAATTAGTAATTAAGCATGACTCTATGTTAGCCTAAAGACTGGTTTCTAGGATGGAAGAGACACACCTTAAAAGATAAAAAAGCAACCTTTCCAACCATGTCAAGCCCATGTAGGCATTGTCTGGTCTCCCGGTGCTCAGTTGCCCAGCCCCTCTGCAAAGCCCGCGGGGCACTTCTGGCCAGTCCCAAAAGGGGATGTGTAGACCCCATGACCCTGAACATAACACGCAGCCTGGATTCTGATGACAAGCTGGAGTCCTGAGCCGGAGGAAACGTGCTGGCCATGGAAACCTTGGATGTTTGTTTCTGCAGCGGACACTTCTCACCGTGCACCTGCAACCCACCCCCCAGCTGCGTCTCTGCTTCCCGTGGACCGGCTCAGGGAGGAACCACCACCAGGCTCAGGCAAGGCCATGGGATTTCAGAGCTCTGGGTGCTGTCCTACGTGTTTCTCTTTATAAATTATTAAGTTGGTGTTCTGGGTTCACTCAGTCTGCGAATTCAGTTGGACTCTGCCCCTGAGAGACAAATCTAGCTTTGGTTTGCTGACAATAAAACAAAGGAAAGCGAATAAACAAGCAAAAAGCGAAAGTTTCTGGGTTTACAAAGCTAAGGGTCAAGTCTTGGACCACGATACATTCACCACGGTGACGAGGCCCCCACGGCCTCCCAGGAAGCGAGGCAGCTGGCCTGCTTCGGCCCAGACAACCTCTGCACCATCACCATGGGTGTGCGTATGCGGGAGGACGATTTCAGACACGCGGCCTAGAGAGCATCACACGAGCAACCGCATACCTTCCGCTCACCGTTCTCTTATCTCAATATTGTACGGGGTGCCAGGGTGGCTTAGTCTGAGCGTCCGACTCCTGATTTCAGCTCCGGTCATGATCTCAGGGTCGTGAGGTCGAGCCTGTGTCAGGCTCCACACTCAGCACGGAATCCGCTTGAGATCGTCTCCCACTGTTCCCCCTCCCCGCCACAATGAATCAATAAATCTAAAAAAAAAACAAAAAAACAAACAACCTATTCCTCAACATTGGCACATGACAGGTAGTAGTTCAGTCCCTTTGTGTCCTCCCTGCTTCAAACCCCGTTTTCGCCAGGGGTAACCACCATCCTGAATTTGGTACTGCCATTATCCCTACGTTATGTTTTCAATTGTCTACGCATGTCCATATTCATAAATAATACATAGTCTTATTTTGTGTATATTTGAAATTTATATGG